ACCGGTACCGGGTACTGAGCACCGGGCACCGCGTACCGAGCACCGGGTACCGGGTATTGGGCACTGGGCACCGAGCACCGAGCACCGATACCGGGCAGGGCGCTCAGCGCCTGCAGGGGCGCGGGCACCGCTGGCCCTTGCCCCAGCGGCTCCGTGCACGAAGCCCGTGCATGGGAACGGGTCCCGAGCAGCGGGCGAGCAGCCGGCACCGGGAGAGGGCTGAGCGGCCGGCGGAGCGCGGGGCCGGTGCCCGGCGGTGCCCGGCGGTGGGGTCGGCCGCGAGCAGCGCGGGGCAGTGCAGCGCAGTTTGTACCACAGAGCTTGAAGTGACACACCCGCTTTGGGCAAAACTTTGGGGTTTTTCCCGCTGCATCAGTGTGCATGTCCTGCCCCTTCCCCTGAACCCAGGGCTGCTGCTCGAAGGCCTATTTTGCTGTTAATAAGATGCAATTTATCTAAACCCCGAGGAACAGTTGGCTTCAGTCATGGAGCCTGCCTGGGTCGGTGGCACCTGCACCGGGGCAGAGCGCAGGGACCCCCCGTTCTGCAGCAGGGAGGAATCGCCACTTTCTGCTTCCAGGCAAACTTGAGCCCTTTGTGCTCAGGGAAGAACTGGGGACTTTTAGCAGGTCTGAAACGGGAGGTGGGTCAGAAGGCCCCTTGGCAAGGGCGCTCGCAAACCAGAGGGATGGTTTGAGCCGCCGCGCATCGCGCTTGCGATGGGCAGCAGCGGTGACGTTTCCTCATTTCCTTCTCTTCAGGCTAAACGACTTTTCCACCCACTCCATCACATGCCAGGCCAGTCTGACCTGATTCTCCTGGGAATATGGGGAAAAAAAAAAAAAAAAAAAAAAGAAAGAAAACCAAACATCCTGTGCGTTGCTGTTGTTTTTCCGGCTGCGAGGCCGGCACGCAGGGCCAGGCTCCGGGAGCTGCATCCCTCTCCGAGCAGGCGGCACGGCTGAGCCCCGCTGCCTTCTGCTTTTGCCAGCTGGGAATTTCTCCCACCCGGCGGCACTGATGCCATGCATCCGTCTCRCTGTGTCCCTGTGGCTGCGTCACCTCCTTCGCCAGTGCCGCGGCTCTGTGCTGATCCAGGAAGGAAACCGGAGTCCCTGCAAGGCCAGCTGACAGCGTGGCAGGAAATGCCGGCCTGGCCGGGCTTCCCCACTGCCTCATCGGTCCGAGGAGCAGACGGGGGCTTGGGAAAGCCCTTTCCCATCCAAACCATCCCGCCCAGCGGGAATCCCTGGACGGACAGCACTGGAGGGGGAGGCCAGRATTGCTCCCAAGAGGCCACACGCAGCTGAGCAGCAGCCTCCTGCGGTGTCCGGTGGCCTTGGCAGCCCTGCTGGGGCTGGGGACAGGCCCCCCCCGGCCAAGGAGCCTGCTTGCCAAGCGCTGGTCTAAAATGAGCCGGAGCTCAAGTGCTGTGACAAGGTGTCCCAGCCACGGTGCCTGAGGGATCACAGCCTGCAGTGCCCAGGAGCAGGTCTAGGCTGAGGTTGAAGCTGGTTCCCAGTCTCCTTGCTGGCTGTGAATGAGCGAGTGCCTGGTCACTAACCTGGGGGGGGGACCACAATGTGACACGGATCTCTGACTCGTCAGCTTGCCGTCATCCTCACCTGCATCCATCAGCCTTAGCTCATGGGAAGCTGGTAACCACGAGCAGAGAGCTCAGCAAACTGCCCCGCCGGGTGGCAACAGGACCTGCGTGGGAGCCCGCGGCTCTCGGTGCCTCCGTGGCACTTCTTCAGCTCAGCCTCGCTTAGCTGGGACAGCGGGGGTGTTGTGGGCCCTCCTCCTCAGTGACTAAGGAGGTCCTAAGCAGCCACCCTCTAGGCTGGGCTCTCCCCAGCCCACTAAGATCTAGAAAAGCTCAGCCTTCATAAAGCCCCTTTTTTATTTTTTTTTTCTTCTTTTTTGGTGTGCAGGGGTCATTTTCCTTTTTTCACATTCCCCTTGCTCCCACCAGAAAAGAGCAGAAAGCTGCAGTGAGGGATGTGGAGAGGTTGGGTGCTGCCCAGGGTGAGGGATGTGGGGCCGCAGGGTCCCCTGCACCCCGGAGTGTTTTGGGGGCACAAGGAGCCAGCCGGGATGGATGGAGGGATGGGAGAGGAAAAGGAGAAGACGCCACCATGAGATCTCTGCCCCAGGGCCCACCAAAACTGACCCTCACATCTACAGCTGTTGAGGGTCAGCTAAAATATCCCCAGAATTACCCCAGAACATCGGATTCCAGCTAAGACTCATTCCTGCATGTAAAAACCTCATGCCAAAGCCATGATAAACCCACATTCCTCCAACTCCAAGCCTGGCCAGTGTTGTTAAATGCACCAGCCTGTATGGCCAGGAGCAATTAAGGAAGCAAGCCAGAAATTATCCATACCTATATGACGAGGCATRTGTGTAAAGCTCAGCAGGAGAAGAAATAAGCATCCAGTATAGATTCTGTAGTAAGATACTTCCCACAGCTGGACTCCACCATCTTACATGAGCACAAATATTGCCCCATCTGCCACGGTCCGAAAGTCTCAGAAAGGAGAACATGGCTTGGAAATTCCAGCCTGGGAGGTCCTGCTGCAGTAGTCCTGCAAACTCTGGTTTGGGAAGTGAATGAGAGAAGAAGGAAGGAATGAGTCTTTCCAACGGGGAATGACAGTTGACAGCGCTGCCGAGAGCCGCTGCAGAGAGCGGGTTGCACTGACACACAGCTGCTCCGTCATCAGGGGCAGCTGCTGCCAGATCCACCCTCGGGCCTCCCCCGGAGCCCTCATAGGCTCGCACGAGGCCCTGCACCTGGGATTTGATGGTATTTAGGAGACGGGGCCCTCCCCTTGCTCAGGTGAGAGGAAGGAAGAGGCAGGTAAAGAGGAGGAGCTGAGGGTGAGGTGGTGCTGCTGCAGAGGGCAGCTCCTGGGGCTTTTGGGGCAGCTTTACTCCTGACCTGAGGGTGCCCTGAAGTTACCCTGCTGCCCAGGTAATGGGGACAGGTCTCTTGGTAGGGTGGCTCGGCAGGGTGGACGTGGTGGTGGCTTTTTGCTGTGGTGTGACCAAGCTGCTGTGGGGCTACCTCTTCACTATCTGCTCACACTGGCCCAGGAAAAGAAGGCTTGGGTTGCTACTGCTCTTGCAGGAGCTGAGCAAGCAGGTGACGTGTTAGTGAGGTGCCCTGTTTGTTCTGGGAGGCTTTTTGGCTGCGGAGGGGGTCTGTGAGGCTTGTTGCCTCTTCCTGGGTGAGATATGTGCTGGGCTAGGTGTCCTGTTAAGGCTCRTTAGAGCTCTTGAGCTGCTAGTGTCCTCCTGAATCTGCCACCCCAGCAGGGACTGGCTGAGGAGTTTGTGTAGAATCTGCAACAGCACCGGGCTTTGCAGGGGTGCCCTGGTTTAGGTCTGTGCCATTAAGGCTCTGTGGTAGTTGGGACAGTGGGGATGTCTCTCCATACCCCATGGACGTGGCTGTTTCTCCAGGACTCTGGTCCGTCTTCCACCCTTGCCCTGTGTCATTTCCCAAACCTGCCTTGGTGCCTACTTGGGGCATCACGAGCATGTTGGGGAGGCCCTGCAGTGAAGGAGCCACATGAAGCGGTGGTGGCTGGTCYAGACCCACCAGTCTGCAGTGTCTCTCACCCTGGGTTGCTCTGYGGTGTGCTTTGTTGGGGCTGCGATGGTCCTGCAAACATTTCTCTCAATGTGGGGCTGCTTGAGAGGGARTCGTTGCCAGTGTCTGCCACCCCCTCAGCTCCCTGGGCTGTGCAGGTATCTCCTCTCTGTTTTTTTCTTTTCCTGGGTGCTTTCCAGGCCCATCCTGGTGTGTATCCTGGACTAACCCCGGGTGGGAGCCTGCCAGCAGTGGGGCTGGCCCGSGTGTTCACACTGTCCTCCTGGTGTCCCCCGTGCACCACGGGAAGGCAGCGCYGGGCCCTGCCTGGCTCCGTGCGGCTGAAAGCCAGGCTCAGCGGGAGCAGGRCTCAGCAGGACTGTGCGGCGGGAGCCTCATCCTGTGACACGAGTCCCACACAGTGCTGACGGAGCCACTGAAGCTTCTGGAGCTGCCGCTGCCTGCCCCGGCCCGCGCAGGGCCTGCCCAGTCCCTGGGGAACTGGCTCATTCYCCGCTGTTGCTGTACAGGAGAGGAGCAGAGGGATCATGGAGCTGGCCGTGGAGCGGAGCTGCCCCTGGCAGCGGCCCGAGGGATGCCCGGGAGCAGCGAGGCCGGGAGCTTAAGCAGAACGGGCCGGAGGCGGCCGGTGCCTGCCAGGGCGGAGCGGGCCGCGGGCAGCCTCTGTTTGTCCTTGTCCCTCTGGGTAAGCAGGCGCCTTCCTCTGGTTTCTCCGTGTTCCTGGGAGCCGTGCTGGCCTCCCTGGGCACGCCGTGCTGTTGGGTGACTGCTGCAGGAGTAAGAGCTGCTTTAACTCCAGCACGGTGACCGTCCTGGGTGAGGTGGGCACAGAGGTGGCAGCTCTGGAAGCTGGAGGTGGCCCCTGTGTGCTTGGATGTGCTACTTGCCGTGGCTTTGCTCTGGGGTTTGACGTGATGGTGTGGAGATGGTTGTCCTACTGAAGCTGTGCCCTGGTGAGGGAGCAGATTGAACCTGGCTTATTTGCAGTGCCCCAGCACAGGCCTCCAAGACATTGAGCTTGCTTGTCCGGTTGTGGTGGTGACTGGAGGCCTCATGAGGTGCTCTCATGCAGAGCAGTGCTGCAGAGCCTGCAGAAATAGGCCTCTTCCTCCCTGGTCTGGGCTCTGCTCTGGGTGAGATGAAGGTTCAAGTGTGTGTTTTGTGTTCCCTCTTCTTCCTGATCCCACCTGATCTTCCATCCCCATTCTGGGTCACTGCTGCTCCCCAGCTGAGAACTGACAAGACCAGGAGAGCCCTTGTACTGGGGAGACCTTGAGGTGCCACTGGCAGGACATGCTGGCTGGTGGCAGTGCTGGGTGCCATCTGGAAGTCCTGGGTCAGCCTGTGGCTGTTGGCAGCAGCCTCTTGCCCTGGGAAGCTGCTTGATGGTGGGAATGGCCAAAGACCAACAACCAGAGTGTTCTGGTCTTCACAAGGGCTGCATCTGATCGTTTTGGTTGTGCGCACCTTTGAGGGGGCAGTGTTAGGTTTGGGCTTGGAGTATGATGAGTATGTGACGTATGTAGCAGCTGCTTGGACCTCTTGTCTCTCTTCCCAGAGCTCTTAAGGACAGTTCAGAGCAGGATGTCTCCAACCAGGTGCTTGTTGGAATGTTTTGTTAACTTGGTTGCAAGGTGTGGTTGTGCAATARTATTTGCTCTCCTAAGGGCAAGTGTGCTGGTGTAGCCTGATGGCAAAGGAATCTTGCCTCAAAGCCAGATATGATGGCGAGTGCTTTGGCTTTTGTTCCATCTACTGGTGCTCACCAGCTCCCTGGTCTCAATGGCCTCCACTGAGTCCCTTCATATCTTTGCCTCAGTTTCCCTTGGCTTACCTGTCTCCCTGGTGGGGCTGTGTTTGCATCTGTGAAATGAAGTTACTTACATGGGTCAGTTTMTGCCAGGAATCTGGTTGGTGGAGTCCTTTTTTTCCCCTGACCCAAGTCTCTTCCTGTTTCTTGGCTACAGTCTCAAACAATGAACTATGTGGGGCAGCTTGCTGAGACCGTCTTTGTCACTGTGAAGGAGCTGTACAGGGGTCTGAACCCAGCCACTCTGACAGGATGCATCGATGTCATTGTGGTGAGACAGCCTGATAACTCCTTCCAGTGCTCACCTTTCCACGTGCGYTTTGGCAAGCTGGGAGTGCTGCGCTCGACGGAGAAGGTGGTAAGTGGTGCCTGCCCTAGCAGGGTGGGTCCTGGAGAACTTAGAGTAAGGGACACCCAAAGGAAGGAATCCAAGTTCAGTAGAACTGTGTTCTGTCCTCTGTCACAGTCTTGGTGGTAGTACAAACAAGTTTCTTGGCTGAGGGGAGAAATAGACTTCAGGTATCCTAAGACCTATGATTTATGKAGAGTTCTTGGTGTTGCCAAAGAGGGCACACCTAACCAAGGGACACTGTTGTGAGCAGAAGTCATCTATGGGAGGGAAGACTAATGTCTAGGTTTACAAAGAGTCCTGTTTGAGGGAAGGGGCCTCCTGAAAGGGATGTCTGCTAATTTAAGGGAGGTGCACCCAACTGGAAGCCATCCTCTTTCAAAGACGATGGTKCTCCCTAGGGAAATAGGGATAGGTCCCTTGCCTCAGCTCTCTGAGCAAACCTAACCAGTCSCCTCCCATGGGAAGGGCTGTTTTGTACACTGAGTGAGTGGCTGTGGATGGCTGAACTTCTTGTGTCCTTTGTCAGGTTGACATTGAAATCAATGGGGAGCCTGTGGACCTGCACATGAAGCTGGGTGATAATGGAGAAGCCTTCTTTGTCCAGGAGTCAGAGGAGAATGAGGTTGGTGGTGAAGAAATGAATGCAAATGTCTCGGCCGCTGCTSCAGGTTCCTGTGATGCGGATCCAGTGCATCTCTTGCTAACAATTTGTATAGGCAGATCTACAGAGGGGACTGGGGCTTTCAGTGCAGAATCCTACAAAGCCCAGGCTGGTGGCCTGAAGGATCAGAACCACGTGAACCTATGGAAGTGACCAATAGGCGCATATGAAGATTGTGAAGGAAATAGATGCCTGAGGAGCCCTTAGGTTGTGTGAGCTCTCTCTTTCTGTGGCTGCCTGGAAGTGTAGGGCTCAGATGGAAGGGCCAGGCTTGGGTTGCTGTTCTTTGGGGGCTTCATTAGCTGCAATGTATGTCTAGAAAATTACCTCCAGGTGGCACACAGTCCAGATCCCATGCATTGATTGTGAAGTCCTTTGAGAGGAAGTGTTAGACTAGGTATCTTCATCTCGGGCTTTTGTCTCTGGACATAACTGCTGGCCAGGCAGGCAGATACCTCTGGGCTTGGTCTCTTGAGGGATCTTGTGACAGGGATGAGAAGGAGCTAGATCTTGTGGCAGTCTCTCTGCTCCACTGGAAGTGGGACAAGACCAACTGCTGCTTCCAGAAATCTCAGCCAACTTGCTTCCAGCCTGACTTGTGGTCGCTGTTAGTTTGGACTGGGTTAGACTGGATTGGAGATGATTACTTCTGTAGCAAGCAGAGGGCTCAGGAGCCAAATTCCCTCAGCAGTCTCCATAATACTAGTTTCTTGGTGCCATCTCCTGCCTATTTCTCCTTCTTTGTCTTCTAAGATGTCTCCTTATGACTGGATATTTGTATTTTACTATGTTGTGTTTACAAAAGATCTCCTTTAGGCCAGGCCACAAAACCACTCCAAAGACTGAGGCTTAGTGGTGTTGGCTATGATGGTTGAGTTGTGTAGAGAAGAGCAATGGGAAAGGAAGGAGTTTGAGAYGAAGGCCTTGTTTAACGTCTGTGTTTCAGGGGAGTATTCCTTCCCGTCTCTGCACTTCCCCCATTCCCATGGAGGAGAACCCAGGGGATGTAACTCAGGCCTATGAGGGGCAGGAGGCCTCAAGCCCTGAAGTGACCCTGTGTAAAAGGAGGCGCCGCAAGAAGAAGCCCAAGCGGAAGGAGGTGGCAGAGTCCAACTTGGAAGGCTGTAAGGGCACTGAAAGCAGAATGTCTTTGGAAGAGAGCAGGCCACCAACCACCAGGTAAGCTTGTTATGTGGGCAGTGGAACACAGTGGACTTAAGCCTTCAAGCTGACCTGTTGATGCTCTGCAGGGCTGAAACGTGCCTTTTCTCTATGTAAGTTCCTCTGAGTCAAGCACTAGCCTTCTGTAAAGTTCTTACTTGGACACCTTGAGTGGAGGCCTGGAAAAGTGTGGTGGAAATGGGAAATTGATGTATTAGCAGTTTTATGGGAGATGAAGCTGGCATCTGTGAGTAGGGCCAACTGCTGCATAACTACCCTCCATCTTTTGCAGTGATTCAGTGTATTTCTCCTTTTTGGATCTCCCCAAAGAAGCAGCAGGGTCCTTGCAGGCTCAAGAGATCTACCCTTATTCTGATGGGGAGCTGGCCTCTGTGGACAGGTAATGGTGACACAGGAAAGGTGTTCTGCTGGGGTTTGGCYAGAACGAGGAACATGACTTGGAGAGGTAGGGCAGGTTTTAGGGAAAAAATACTTGAAAGTGTCAAGAAGGGAAGACTTTCTTGTTCCTCAGCCTGATAAGATGTGGCTGAAGGAAAGCTAAGAGCTCTGTCTTCTCCTATGAAGGAGATTTCTCCTAACTCTTCACAGAAGCAAGATGACCATGTACATGGGCAGCTCAGCCTGATCCCTGCCTCTGCTGCCTGGACAACCTGGGACATATCACTTTGCTGCCTGGGGCTGCAGCTTCTTGTGGGTCTTGCTCATTTGTAAGCTGTAGATATGGTGCAAGACTGTCTGGGAATCAGTTTTACAAGGCTCCTATCCCTAGATGTCACTACAGTGTCAGGAAAACTTCTGAGCTTTGTGGTAGAACAGGTCCAATATCACCTTCTCTTCTTGCAGCCCCTCCCTGAGTCATCCATCTTCTCCCAAAAGTGACTCTGAGCTGGAGATGAGACCTCAGGAGAGTTTTGCTCTAGGGACTGAACCCCATATGCAGTGGGCCTGGGGAAGGCTCCCTCAGGTGAGTGTCTGCTCTTGCTCCCCCTCTAGTGACTGAGGTGGCATGGAGTGAAAGTGGAAAAAGCTGTGGCTAAGTAGCCACAGAAGCTCTCCTCTAGTACCTGATACTTTGGTTTGGTTTACTTACTTAAATGTGTTCCTCTACTTTCTCTTAGGTGAATAAATCGGAGCGAGTTGAATCAGCCAAGTCCATAAAGGCCATTTCTACTGCAGCAGCTATCACGTCAATGGCACCAGCTCTAGTGGATGGAACAACCCCCCTTGTTGCTGTCTCTGAAGGCTTGGGAGGTGTTCCAAGCCCAGCGGGACTGCAGGATGCACCTCATTCGTCTTCTGTGTCTGTTGTTGAGCTGAAAGCCACATCTCAGAAAGGGGATGGCTCCCACAGCCTGCAGGACATCCCCAGCACTGTAGGGGCTGAGAGCTTGGCAGAGTCTTCCTCTGTCCTTCAAGAGGAGCAGGGAACAGAGGAACAGAAGGAAGAAGAGCGTGTTGTACCAGAGGTTCAACTGGACTCTAAGCCCTTGGCTGCTGAGGGAGCTGCTGGCCTGAGGCAGGTGGGCTTGGAGTGTCCAGAACCCTACCTGGAAAGCCAGAAGAGACAAGGTGAGGATGTTGCTGGTACTGTTTCTTAAGTAGAAGAGATGCCCCTTCTGTTTCCCACATATCTGTGGGACACAGAAGAAAAGGCTGTTGCCTTTCCAGCCTCTCAATTCTAACAAGAAAATTAATTCAGCTAAACTCTTTTCCTCTTTGCATTGAGGATCCATCAAAAAAAGTCCTCACCTGGGTCCAAGTGATGTTTACCTGGAAGACCTCACCAGACTGCATGAGGAGCAGGTGGCTCTTTATTTCCCTAGAAGGTATGAAGACCTAAACTAGCCAGACTCAGACTTTTGRGGTTTTCTTCTCTTTTACACCAAAGAATCTAGTACATCTAAAATTTGTCTGCTGCTGTTTCTTGCTGTAGTGACACAGAGCAGAATCCGAAGCCTGTGGCTGACCCCAGCAGCACTTTGTGTGTCCAGCTGCCATCTGGCCTGCCTGCTGAGAGCCCCATGGACTTGGAATCAGACTTGATGCCCTCAATTGCACTGTCGCTATGTGGAGGCCTTGGGGGCAGCAGGCAGCTCTGTCATGGTAGGTATGAGGGGAATCTGCTTGTTGCAAAACCTGTTGTGTAAACTAGTGGCATGATGCAGCTTCTGTCCCATCAGAAAAATTCATGGAGCACATCATCTCCTACCAGGAGTTTGCAGAAAACCCAGGAATCATTGATGATCCAAACCTGGTGATATTACTCAACAAGAAGTGAGTGGCCTGCTCTTGACTGTTTTGTCCCAAGATAACCAGTGTGACCCCTCTGTCCCTGCAGAGACGTTCCTGTAGRAATGTGCCTCCATTTGAGGCAATTCCTCTAGTGTAGTAGGAACTTTGTAGCCTTGCTGTAGGACAGTGATCTGAAAACAGACCTTGTAGCTCCAGTGCTGCACTTGCAGACATGCAGACTTGCATACAGCTCTTCCTTATGTCTTCCCATCCTGGAAAGACTGCTTGCTCCTATGATCACTGAGCASTCTGCAGTGTGGTTTTGTTGTCTAGAGGGATGCTCTAGACCAAAAAGGACATGATCGGCTGTCTGCTGCTACAGCCAAGCTGTGACTTGCCCTTATATTCCCAAGACAACATAAGAGATCTCCCAGACCTCTTCTGCTGTCTGGCTTGTGTGGAGATGTGCTGCCTATCTCTTCTCCRCTACCTTCTTGAGACTGCTCAGTGTGTGCTGTGATGTTTCCATCTCTCCTTGTTTCAGGTATTACAACTGGGCAGTGGCTGCTCCCATGGTCCTTTCTCTTCAGGCCTTCCAGAAGAACATCCCTGCGGTCAGTGACACATCCCCACCCATTCCAYACACACAGTCTATACCTGTTGGTGGCTCCACTGCATTTTGAAGCCCTAATCTTTTCCCCCAGGCTTTGTAAGCCATCTGGGGCAGAGCTGAGGGTTACTGTACCCTACGGGCTCCATGATCTGTCCTTTCCTTGGCTGTACCTTGGGAGTGGCTTTTTTCTGGCTTCTACTGAAACATGGAAAGCAGATATCATCGTTAAAAATGAAATGGCCATATCTGTGCACAGCAGGCAGGAGTAAGATAACTTGGATATKTGAAAGGATTTGGGACCTGCATGGGCCTGCATCAGAGCAATGTGGAGTTGGYTGGGACTGTAGAATAGGGCCTCCAGAGGGGTGTGTGTGTTTAAGTGTTTATTCAAAGTTGTATCAAGGGACCAGTTGTGGTACCTTTCTCTTCAAGTTGTCTCRGCTCACGACAGGACAAAAGAGCTCATCCTACCCTTTAAATGATTTGGCCAAAAAAGTCTAAGAAAGGGTTTCCTTAAGGCTCTTGGACATCTTAGCGCCTCTGTGCTGGAGAATGACTTGTTTCAATGCTCTGTCACGTTCATAGAGCACCATTGATCGACTAGTGAAGGAGAAGATGCCAAAGAAGAGCAGCAGGTGGTGGTTCTCCTGGAGGAGGCAAGAATTTCCCACAGAGGAGGTATGTTTGTAGTGGTGGCTGTGGCAGACGTGTCCCTGAGTCCAGGAATTGTTCTGGCCACCAGCAAGCATAAGGAGAAAGGAGAGCAGCAGGTTCTTGGGGCTGACCTGAGTGAGTGCAGGAGAAGTGAGARGTACCTGTTGGCAAGGTGCCTACTGCAGGTGGTCCTCTCAGGTCTGTCAGTGCCCAAGTTGCACCCAGTGACCACTCTGGCAGTGCTGAGGCTTCCTGTGACCTCATGGAGTCCAGGCATGCCTGCAGGCTCACGTGCTTTGCAGATTACAGCAGGGCCAGCTTGTCCTTCTCCCTGGTCCATGTGACATCCATGCGGCATGTCCCCATAACAGCTGTGGGGAGTGCATTGCCATGGGTTTTACTATCACTGCTCCAATTGCCAGTGAAGCAAAGTGGCCTCTGCTGCTATCCCTGACTACTGCAGTGAGGTACTAATGGTGCCCCTCTGTCTGCAGCCACAACCAAGACCAGGCAAGGCTGATGTGGAGACACTGCAGCTGGATTCTGTTCAGCAGAGGTGAGTGCCTTGCCTTTCTCCTGCTGCTAGGCATTAGTTAGGGCAGGAGGGATGTCTATAGGGGACTTGATCTTCTCTTAATGGGCAGATATTCCRAAGTTTACTTGGTGTGTGGGGGCAAAAATCTCTGTTAATACTTTGGCTGATCCCAGGCCAAGTCTCCTTCTGGATTCCCTCCAGGCCTGTGTTCCTGAGGAAAGCCATGGCCTCCATGGAAAAGTAGAAAGGCTCTTTCCTTCTTTATGTAGGGAGGAGGAGGAGATATTGTCCAGTGATGATGAGCCCCTGGATGTTGGGGACCTTCTAGCAAAGGATGCATCAGCACATAAATCTCTACCAACCTACAAGAAATCTCTTCGTCTTTCCTCCAAACAAATTGTGCGTACTCCCCTCCTTCACTGGCTTCTCTTTGTGTAGAGGGAACATGGTCTTCTCATGAGACTTTCCACTTCTGACCTATGTTTTTATAGGACTTCCAAGTATTTTGCCCTCGGTTTACCCTCTAAAAGGGTGCTTTTAGAGACCTAGGACCTCTGTGGCCTGGCTGAGTGACAGTCTTGGCCTTGGTTTTTTGGACTGGCAGTGAACTGGTGCTTGTATACTCTGTTTGAGGACTCTGCTTTGGACAGTTTTATTTTTCTGGCTGAGCTGCTGTAGRCTGTTCTTCCTCTGTTCTCCTCTATTCTTCTTTTTCCTCTCCATGGTGTTCCCCCTCTTCTTCAGGAAAAACTGAATCTGCAGGATGGCCCCAATGAGGTGGCATTCAGTGTGACAACTCAGTACCAGGGCACGTGTCGCTGTGAGGCCACCATCTACCTGTGGAACTGGGATGACAAGGTGGTGATCTCGGACATTGATGGCACCATCACCAAGTAAATCATCCTTTTGTGTCTTCCCTGCCTGTGCTGCCCTTGTCAGAGTAAAGTGTCCTTTTGAGGCTTGCATAAGCAGCCAGGAGGGCACCAATTCCATGGCCTTTTGGCTGGATCAGCTTAACTCGTTCTCCCTTTCCTGCTAGGTCAGATGCTCTAGGACACATCTTGCCACATCTGGGAAAAGACTGGACTCATCATGGGATTGCTAAGCTCTTCCACAAAATCCACCTGTAGGTATTGGGTCTGCTAGCACCCTAAARCTGATAGGAGGTGGAAGGGTGCTGCAAGGGAAGCCTAGTGCCAAGTACCTGCCTTGAGGTCTAGAGCTGTCTTAGCTCTTGCTGATATTGGGTCCCTGTGGCTGTGGATACAGCATGTGCAGGAGCTCAGCGTAAAGCTCTGTCTCTTTGACTTGGGATCTCTGGCCACTAAGAGGCACTGTCGACTCGCTCTTTGCTCAGTCAGGCTTAATGTGGAACCAGGACTACTTTACTGTGTTCTGGGAAGCCAGGCTGAGCCCCTCTGTTGCTATACCTGCACCTTGGATCTGTTAGTGTCTGATCCCACAAGAGCAGCATAGTGTCTGCCTAAGCTGTTAGTCTAGCAAGGCTGACACCTCAGAGGGATTGTAGGGACCGTGTCTAGCTCCCCATAAACTGCACTAGGTTTGCAAGGATTTAGTAAAAGTGCTGTCACATGCTGGTGTGGGAGTCCTTTCCATCTGTGCAGCTGGAGGGCAGGAGGCAGCTGTGGGGTACTGGGTGTGATGGGCACCAAATAGTGAAAGGCAACTTGGGTGATGARTGATAGTATTAAGAATGGCCTGAAAGATGCCATTGGGCTCCTTGCCTCTGATCRCAGCAATGATGAAGACTCATTTGGGCTTCTGTTGAGCAAGTGGGCTGCAGCACTTGTAAAGCTGGGCTGTCAAGGGGTCAAGCAGGTTCTGGYTAGGTCAGGCATCCAGTCATGCCCTCTGCCCTAACAGGATGGCAGGAGGGTTCAGAGGGTGCCTTGTGCAGAACACAGCTCTGACAGGTTCTCTGCACTCCCTCCAGCAACGGCTACAAGTTCCTCTATTGCTCAGCAAGAGCAATAGGCATGGCACACATCACCAAAGGCTACCTGAAATGGGTCAACGAGCAAGGCTGCGCCCTCCCCAAGGGCCCCATCCTGCTGGCCCCCAGCAGCCTCTTCTCTGCCTTCCACAGGTACCAGTTTCTTTGTTCCCTGTACCTTCCTGGCCCCTAGTGATGGTACTTTCCTCTTTCCCAGCCCTAAAGCTGAGGGGTGTTCCAGCTTTAAACCACATGTGGCCTGTGTAGTATTGGATGCCTTTCATGGGAGGCAGCAGGAAGACCTTGGCCTGCTCTCCCCAAAGCTTTGTGGTGAAGCTCTTGCAATGCAGGAAGTTTGTTGCCCTTCAAAACCCTTCCAGCCCCAGTGTGGCTGTCCACAGTTCCAGCCTGGCAATGCTACCCTGACCTGGGCTCCATTCCTGTCCTTTGTGCTGCAGGGAGGTGATTGAGAAGAAGCCAGAGATGTTCAAGGTTGCCTGCTTGATGGATATCCAAAACCTTTTTGCCTCAAAGCAGCCCTTCTTTGCAGCCTTTGGGAACAARCCTAATGTGAGTGGGTCCCTTGGGAATGAGGAGGAGGAAGCTAGGAGGGCTAGTGTCACATAGTGGCTCACACTTCTTCTTGGCCTTTCCTTGGTAGGATGTATATGCTTACAAGCAAGTAGGACTACTGGAAAGTCACATATTTACTGTCAACCCTAAGGGAGAACTGATCCAGGAACTCATGAAGACCCACAAGTCAACGTAAGCTGTTTCCCTGCTCCTTAACACCTTTGGGTTAACCTAGATTTCACACAAGGAAGAGTCTTGTGGGATTAAAAAAGGGGGCAAGAGTTTGGACTTAATTAGCCTGTCTCCTGTGCAGGCTGCTAAGGGGACTTGTGTGATGGCAGTGCTAGACATGACTACAGACTGAGCAAGGACTGGGGAAYGCAATAACATCAGCTTGAGCTACTACCTGTTTGCAAGACCCCTGCAGTCAAAATGGAATTTTAGCAGCAGTGGATAAATGAAGCTTGACGTTTCCTCAAGCTTCATTTTATCCACTGCTGCTGCAATTCCRTTTTTACTCCATAGGTATGAGCGGCTGTCGGAGCTGGTGGAGCTGATCTTCCCTCCTCTAGGGCAGCGTGGGAGCGCTGCTCTGGAGTGTCCYGAGTACAGCCACTTCTCCTACTGGAGACCTCCTCTGCCTCTCATTGATTTGGAAGATCTCTCCTGACCCTGCTGCTCATGGACACCAGGCTAAGGATTCTCCATGARCATCTTCTGGAACTAGGTGCAACAGATGCATCTCTTCCTGCTGTGTGCTGCTCAGGTGTCCTGCACTTCTGATATGGGTTATATTCTGCACTAGAAATACTCCTCAAGGGTAGGGGAACTCTATCTTTAGAAAAACTGATTTACTAAACTGAAACTCTCTCTAATCCAGGTGCTTTCTTAATGTTCTTTATATGTTTAAAGCGTGGCTGTTTTTTAAAGGTGATGGATCACTGCTGTATTTATTGATGAGCCCCTCGCATAGCTGTTTCTACCTCTGGTTTGACTGGTSTTTCCAGACAGTCCAGCTACCTCGTTTGGTAGCTGATGGAGTGAAGGTGTCATGGCTTAGCAACTCGGAAAGGTAGCTGGAAACTGCCAGCGTTTAAGTGTTCTTCACTAACAGCATTAATAAACAGTGCCTTAATCCAAGCTGTCTCTTGTCCCCTCAAGTCCTGTGGTGGAAGGGGGAAACCAGATTGAGTCCTTGTACAAGGCAGGTGTATTTCCCTGAAGCGTTCTGTTGAGGGTGTCTCTTGCTGGAGACGAAACCTGCAGCCTTCTGGGCCCATGGAAGGGCTTAAAGGTSTTATGCTTTTTTTAACCCCATTTTTTTTCTTAAAGCCATACTTGTCACTTTGATGCTGGAAACCTCAGCAAGAAATACTTTATTTTCCTTTTCCATACAAACAGTCTTTCAGCTTTTAAAATCTGAACAAATGTACAAAGCTTTAAAAACAATAAAACACAGCCTCTTTCCAAGATGAGTTTCCACCCACCTTCGAGGCCTGCCCTGTGCAAGAACAACCACACGGGGCCAGTCTCCTTCCCTCTTTACAAGCACAAGAAAAAAATGCCCTATTTTACAGAGTTCATTTCACTTTTTAAGCATGAATAGCTGAGAACTGAACTAAAAACTGTCCCTATCTTCAAGTGAAACATCAGGAATAGTCCAAACATAGCACCATTTTCTGGAAGGCTGCTCCTGTCCTAGMTCTGTTACCAAAATCCCCTTTCCTTGGTGCTGGATGGAGCTGTTYGTCCTCAGCCCAAGCTATGGCTTACTGGCCTGCCTGACAATCCCATACCTGGGGCTTGGTTATTTCTTCTTTGGTTGCTGCAGCCTTTTTAATCCCTTTTGTGATGAGATGCACGGGTCTCTTCTGAGCTGAGTGTTCTCCAGGTCATTGAACAGTGCTGAGGGTTGGCTTGAAACCCTGACTTTGAGCCCMAAACCATCCTTGTGGTCTAACAGGGGTTTCTGTGTGATGCTTGAAGGCAGATGGGTGTTGCTCCTCAGCTCCTTCCTCTCTTAGCTGTAGAAGGATCAGTAGGGACAGTGTAGCCCCAATTTGGCAGTCTCTAGAGCAGAGTGAAGGGATTTTGCTACTTTTTTGCTATGATGGTCCAATGGATTTTGGACCATCCTCAGCCCCAACAGGCTAAGTCYACCCCTGTCAGGGTAAGGTGACCAAGCTGGCAGGACTGGGTGATCCTTATCATTCTTCCCAGTGTTGGGAGGAATCTTCTGTTTGAAAGAGGGGTTGGGGATGCACAAGTTGTCTCTATTGCAACTGTCTTGGGCATCACTGCTGCTTTGTGCCCATGAGAGCAGCCCTGGGCAGGTGCTGCAGGCTGTGCATGGTGCTCGCTGCTCCTGCAGTGCATCCTGACCCAGGTAATTGTGGTGGGGAAGAGCAAGGATGCAGGGTAGGGTAAGCGTGGGCTGTGGGGCTGGAGGCTCGGTGGGGTGAGAGGCTCCTAGCTGCATCTCTGAGCCCRTAGGAAGGCAGATTCCTCTGCTATAAAGTGCCAGAGCTGGTCAAATGCAGGCTCTTTAATTTCTTCTTCTTCATCCTTTTTGGAACTATGGTCCCTCTGGGTTGAGCAGCAGAGGTGGCCTCTCCAAAGAGCTGGATTTGGTGGAGAGCAGCTGTGGGGAAAAGGCACCAGCTTCCCAGGATGAATCTGGAGTCTCTCAAGCACCTGTATGGCCTCTTCCAGTCTGCCCTGTCATGGGAAAGCAGAGTGAAATGGGGAAGTCACACAGGTCTTGTAGTCTGCCAGCTTAGCCTGGATGCCTGATTGGGGGTCAGTCCTTCCCCATGGCTGTCCTGAGGAGAGGTCTTGGCTTGCTCCTCAACAAGGCTGCGAGCGATCCCTGCCTTCCCTTTCCCTGGCATTCACCAGAGGGTGAAGGTGGGCAGGAAGCAGCTTCCAGCTCCTGTGCTGGCTGAACGTGGTGGCTTCCTCACAGCTGGACCTCGCTGCCCTGTGACAACAGGAGGGAACCCACGTTCACAGTTCAAGCAATTAAAACAGAAGAAGGCCAGARCTGGAGGACAGGACAGGCGCTCTTCAGGCACCTTACAGCCGCACGTGTCTTYAGTAACATCCAAAGGACTGTGGGCCACCAGGGAAGATGCAGAATTTCCACAACCCTTCATGCCTATCCCAGCTGTGACCAGAGAGCAAGGTACCCTGGGTGTCCTCCTGCACGTAGCRTGGGGCAACTCTTAGCTGCTGGGGTGGTCTTCCAAAACAGAGCAAGGGAGGTGGGGGCACCGCTAGAAGACTTCATACTTGGACAAGCACTGTGACCGTGGTTTGTTCAAAATATATATACATATATGTATCTTCCTAATGCATATCCTCATATGCTCTGTAGTGCATGTGCATTTTCATGAAGAAATGAGCAGTATAAATGGGTTTACCTTACACAAGGAGGGCTGATGCCTCAGAGGGGAATACAGTTCCCAGGGGCACATGACAATCCGTGTTTTCTTTGAAAGCCACAGTTGCTGGGGTGAGTTTTGCTGCCTGTAGGGAGTCCTGGCTCTCTTTACTCCCTGGCTTAAGATGCAGGTGGTCTTCAGGTCGGAGAAACCTTATTTCCCAACTCACAAATACAGAGTTTCATTCTTCAAAAAGTGATAAATCCACAAAATAACAACAAAAAATGCCCGCCTCCAGCTTCCTCTTGAATTGCCCTTCTGGACCCATCAGTCCAGAAGCCAAACCACCACCTCCAGCCGCAGTGCAGGCTCTGCGGGGTCCGTACAGCTGCTGAACATTGGGAGGGAAGCCCAGTAATGGGAAAGTAGGGCTGGTAAATCTTTTTAAAAAGGGGGATGGGGAAGAAGGGTTTGTAGCAGCTTTTAATTTATCTTTTAATTAAAAAAAATCCAAAGAACCCTCGTCACATTGGAGCAAGTCTGTGTGATATAAGTTAATTTTGTTCTTCAAGGCGGAGAGGAGAAGAAAKAAGTGTCAGGATGGCTAATGCTGCTTAGTGTCTGCCTGCTCCTCCAAGTGGCTGACCTGCTCGGCCAGCTCGGACACTTTGGCTTGGCAGTCAAGCAGGTTGTCCTTCAGTCCTGTTATTTCCTGAGAGTGGGCAGCCAGGGTCCCATTCATATGGTCCATGTAGTCCCACAGACTGCCTGTGTGTTTCTCYAGTTCGTCCCTGATGATGTCCAGGCTTCCTGTGACGGCACCGAGCCTACCACAGAGGTTCTCCACCTGCGCCACCCGCTCATCGAAGTGAGCRATCTCCCGCTGTAGGTCATGGGCCACGCTTTTGCAGGAGCTCAGGTCGCTGACGATCCTGGCTTTGAGTCTCTCCAAGTCTCCCTTGAGGTTCAGGACACGCCGGTTGCTGAAGAAGAGCTGGGAGCCTTGGTCGTTGACTTTCTCCTGGATGGAGTGGACCTCATCCTCGATTTTCCGYTCGTGCTCGTCCAGTGAGGAGTTGACGTGTGCCACAGTGTCCGAGTACTGGGAGACCGAGTCCTTGAGCCCTGTCAGGGACTTGCTCATGGTATTCAGGTTGATCTTTAGCAAGGTGATCTCCCCTTGCAAAGCTCCAGATGCTTCTTCCTCAATTCGCCGCTGGATCTCCAAGATAGTGGCRTTCAGCTTGCTCAGGAGGTCGTAATTGCTGTCCATGCGGAGCAGCAGGTCCTGGTTCTTGTTCTGGCAGTCCTCTATCTCTGTCCGGAAGGTCTCCACATCTTTGGAAGCGGAGGTGCAGCCCAGGGTACAAGTGCTTTCCAGCGTGACGAGGCGGTTCTGCAGCACCTCCAGCCTCTCGTCCGTACGCTTCCTCATGCTAGCGAGCTCCCCCTCCAGCACGGGCACCACTGCTCCATCCATGCCCACAGGAGCACTGACGTTGTTCAGCTCCCCCACAATGGTCATGAATCTGTCCTCCAAGGTCTGCATTTTGTCTTCAAAGGCAGTCCTCATGCCATCCACCTCTGCTACCACTGTGCCTCTCATGCTGTCCTCTACACTGGAGCAGCAGTTCCCTGTTTCCCTCTCCGTAGCATTGAGTCTGGCTTCCAGATCCTCAAAGCGGCCTTCAAAGAGGTTCTCGAGGGTGACAGTGGAGACTTCTCCATCCATCCGTGAGTGTAAGTTCTTCTGGGACTCAGAGATGCTGTGCAGGCCTTTCTCGAGCATGTTCATGCGATCAGTGAGGTAGTCCAGGTTGCTGCAGCAGCTTTCCACCACTGTCAGCCCTTGGATCTGGGTCTCCAGCTGGGAGATCTCTTTCTTGATCTCTAACTCCTTCCCATCCAGCGTCTGCTGCAGCCGYAGGTTGGCAGCTTTCTCCTCCTCGCACTGCTGCCTCACCTCTTGGAGCCGGAAATCGCACGTGGTCTGGATCTTCCCCAGCTTCTTCTCAAAGCCATCGAGCAGCTCTCCACGCAGGTTGCTCAGCCGTGTGTCCACGTATTCCTCCAGCATGTCGATGGAGGTGAGTGGCGAGGGCTGGGCTGACTCCAGCAGGTGTTTGATCTGCCCATCGTGGTCCAGGACCATGCCACGAACCTCGTGCAGCAAGTCCGCCTTGGTCTTCAACACGTCGCTCACCTCCGTCACTTTGGTCAGGATCTCCCCCATGGGAGGGAAGGTGCCGATGTCGGCCTTGTCTGCTACATCCACCAGGCCGTCGGGAATGATGCCAAAGCCCACGGTGGAGTCGGGCACCCCGGGGCTGTTCATCAGGGAGCCGATCATCTTGGTGGTGTCCTCGCGGACCGCGAGCCGCAGGCGCTCGCCCAGGCCGCTCACCATGGTGTGCAGGCTGTCGTAGGCCTGGGAGAGGCGCCTCACCTCCTCCTCCAGCCGATCCAGGCGGTCTCCAAAAAGGCCAGGGAGCTTCCTGCCTGTGCAGGGAAAGAACCAGGGAGGGGACAGTCAGGGCCTGTGCTTTCAGCCACTGTCCTGCGCTGTCTTCCTGACTTGAGTCTTTTTCCATATTAACATTAGCTCCTGCTCCATCTCCTCTTGCCATTTCACCCAAACATCAACATCCCC